CTTTGCCACGGGGGTGTGCGTTGCGGGCTCGTGGTCAACTTGGTGCTGACCAGCACCCCCAAATTCTTCTCTGCAAAGCTGCTTTCCAGCCAGTAGGACCCCAGCCTCTGGTGATGCATGGGCTTATTCTTCCTTCCCCTCTGCAGGATTTCACATTGCCCTTTGATTGCCCCAAGCCCTTCGCACAGGACCCCCATTGGCCCGTTTCTCCAGCCTACCTAGGTCCTTCTGAATGGCAGCATAACCATGAGGTGTATCAAGCACTCCCGATTTTGCATATCCCTGGATCTAAGGAAGAAATTCTTTACAATGAGGGTGGTAAAACACTGGAACAGGTTGCCCAGAGAGGTAGTGGAGGCCCCATCCCTGGAAGCATTCAAGACCAGGTTGGACGGGGCTCTGAGCAACCTGATCTAGTTAGCAGTGTCCCTGCTCACTGCAGGGGGGTTGGACTAGATGACCTCTAGGGGTCCCTTCCAGCCCAAAACATTCTATGATTCTATCTGCACATTTGCTAAGGGTGCATTCTGTTGCATTGGCCAGATCATCAGCACTCTTATTGTTAGATTTCTATTTAATATAGTTAAGCTTTACTAATGGTGTTAAATTCTAAGCACTAAATCCAAAAATGTTCTGAAATCTGAAAATCAAAAAAGTTTCCTAAACACTATGTACAGTCACTTGTACCATGCATAGCATTTAAGCGCTAACAGAATCAGAACTGTGAAGACAGATTTCCTTCCCCGTACAAGAGACCTAAACAAGAGAGTAACCACAACTTACTAAAACATTTCTAAGATAACAAGAACATTGAGTCAGAATTACTAGTCGTAATTTATTAGAAAGGAAAACTAACTTATTTCACTCTCTCTCCTTAGCACAGCATCCAGTGTTGTAAAAGCTGTCCTCACAGCTTTCATGACGTCAAATTTTTTTTCAAAGAAGGCATCAAATCACTCCATAATCTATCCCACACTAGAGAATTACAACCCCAGTTCACAAAATATTTCAAGGCAGTAATGCACCCTACTGACAAACTTGCTAGCTTATGAGCTATTGAGCAGTCTTGCTTTGGCACAACAAAAACTTGTATGCGGGCTTTTAAATTTCACCTAATAGTATCAATGTAAACATTTGAATGCTCTGCACATCAGGTCTGCTTGCCTTCCCTTGTATACGATTTTATACGTTCTGATGATGGATACAGAACAACGATTCTGAAGCCAGCATGAATAAAAATAGTTCTTCAACCTCAGCAGCACCGGGTAAGCAAGCTTATGCTGTGGTGTACCGGGAAGCAATGACTGAAGAGTTGACTGCCATCTGTCTTGACAGAGCAACTTACAATCTGGAATCAGACTAAAAAACATTAGTGTGATGAATTTTTTTATAGCATCTTGTGCAGAGGCTGGCCATAGATGTTGCGGACGGAGTTACTTGTTCCACTTGCAACTCTTTGCAGCTGTGTTCCAATAGGAGCCAGTTCTACAACTCATTCACAAGTCACATATGAGTATGTAATGGCTGTGGAAATCCCTAGGCTCAAGTCTTCTGGAGACAGGAATAGAAAGTAAAAATCATGCAGCTGCTGAAATCTCACGCCCTCTAACATCATCTATTCTAACACTTTACCCATGGTAGTTAACAAAATTGCTGAGCCATGAAAGCTGGAAGCCAGAGCCAAAAATAAACCTCTGTGAAAGAATGATCTTGATGTACAGTTGCATGAAAGAGAGCAATCACCACAAATTGGAAAAAAATCAAAACAGACACCACTTTGGACAGCTGCCCTGGTCACTTAAAAACCCAGATGGAACTCATTCAGCCTTAGGCAAGGGATGGGGGTGGAGAAAAAAGCATGGGAGAGAAAAATATACAAGTGGGAACACATCTGAGGAACACAAAGACAAGCAGAATGATCACCAATTAGCCTAAGGACAAGGGTCTACAGCTAACGCATTCTTGCGGTGATCACATATGGCCTCTCACCAGAGATCTGGAGCAGCTGGACTGGCGATTTGACTATACCATAATATACTGCAGCATCGCATCCTTCTCTGCTAATAAAAACTGATATTCTACTTTTAGTAACAGAAAAAAATGACTTCAAATTCAGAAAAACAGGAGGTCAGGTAACTTGGCCAATTAATTTAATTCCAACGATGAACTTTTAGTAGCAACGACGTTTAAAAACTCTTTTTTCCCCTCAATATGGCATCAATGCCTGCCTCACACTTGTATTCTACAACTAAAATTGAGCATGGTAATAGTGCTTTTCTAACCAGTTATTTTTCCATCAAAAAATACTCTCATTGTAAAATGGATCATGCTTCCTTTTACTGAGTAAGGCTACCTTAACTACTCCTGCTAGGTAATCTAAATTTGTCCTATTCTCAGCTCAAGTACACCTGACAGGTTGAAAATAAAGGCAGCAAGCAGGATTCATTCAAGTTTTAATAATTTCTTTCGAAAGCTGAGAGAGAACAAACAAACTGGCTGTTTCTGAATAACGTATGCATAATAAACAAACCTACATATTCTGTTATCACCCGTTACCGTGCAATCACACCTCTTTGGGATAGTGCAGATTTGCATCAAAAGCTATTATGATCAATTAAGTGCTCTTTGAATGAGCTCCTCCCAACCCACCTCACAGGTGTCCTTTCAGAAACAAAAAGCATGACTGTGTACTTTCTAGGGAGGAATACCATATGGGAGTTCTAGGAAATACAGTATCAGACTTCTGCTCACTTTTTTTTTTAATTGTAATGAAACTTTAAGGGAAAACACTTTATTTTCTCAAGTTGGAAGCTTCACTCATTAATATGCTTCTGAGAGCATCACACAATACATAAGTTAAGCAGAACACCTTAACAATTCCTTCAGCAGAAGTCTGCAACAGATGTCACTTTAAAGCTAGATCTCTGAAAAAAATCCCATATATTCTCCATAACAGCATACCAAGTGAAAGCTACATCAACATTTAGTCAGGTACAGAAGTTAAGTGGGGCACTGGTCACCTGGATGGAAGCCGTTGGGAACTCAAAGCAACTGAGAATCTTTCTTTCTCTTCAAGCTCAACACACTATGATGGGTTTGGATACACTATGAATTTGGGGCATCTTGATCAAAAAAACTGCTGTAAAAACACTGAGTTCAGAAACCAGCTTGTAGGTGTTGCGATAATAGACAAGCTTTTCTCTAGAAGTCGAATGCTTTCCCATGAAGTAAAAACACAGAGTAAGCACACACGTTTTTTAGCCGTTTCCTGAGCAAGTGCATTTGCAGCTGGGGCTGAAACAGCATTGTCTAGAACTATTCACCCACATTTTATTTCAAATGTTACCAGTATGTCCATACAGCAGAGGAGAAATACAACCAATCCTGAAAAATTACTGTTCCACTAGGACATACATTCATTGTAACTTAAGATATCAAGTCTTACCCTGTGAAAACCTGCACTTTTCAATTCTAGGGGCATCTGCGAAACTAAATTTCTCCCGAGAAAGTTTGATTTCCTCTATTGATCTTTCTGCTTTGTTGGATGAGCCGCCCAGCAATGCAGTCACCTGCATCTTAACTAGCTGGCAGCATAATATTTCTACAACACTTTAGCTTGTTCTCTCATTATAACTAAAGAGCTTAGAAATGTTTAATAGAAACAGACTTGTGACCTGGATTGAAACAATAAGGAAGAAAACTCTTTTCCTAGCATTTTTCTGCTGTAGTTGCCAAAAGAAAACTGAGCTAAGACATACAAAGAGTATGCATTATCTACCTTGAAATACCTCCTGCCTAGGACAAAACTGTATCTAGGACAATCTCCAACTGAGGATTTATCAGATGGGTGCAATTTTACTACTTCCACAACTATTCTGAAACCTTGTATTACCACTTATTAACAAAGTCTCAATCAAAACAAAAACCAAAATCAACAGTGATTGCCTTCCATAAACCTAGACATCCTGGTTTCAGATTGAGAAATATCCATACACAGCCTAAGAATGGTAAGCACTAAGTAGAGGAAAGCTAATCCAGAACAGAAGGCTGCACAGTCTAACTGAGAACACAAACTCATCTGAAATAGCCAGCAGAAATACAGAAGAGTAGGGTCATAACTGTGCAGGGGTCATACCCACAGTAAGGTCATAAACAAAAGTCAGTCTCATCTCTCCTCACTGCAAGTGAAATACTAGTCCCTGGTTCCACATCCCTTACTAATAACCTAGTCTGGAGAGACTACACACCACTAAATCAATACATCAGTTGCATAAAAATTCTTCCCCAGTTTTAATTACACAGTGCTTCTAGAATGTTTTTGCTGTATCAGGCACAAACTGAAATGCACTTAAATTGTGGTAAAGAGGCCCGCTAGGATAGATTTCACTTAACATACTGGACAAGAAAGGCTCAGCTTAACCCCACCAATGTAATTAATGAACATCCCGACATGGCGCACAGGACAATGACAATAGCGATCAGCACTTCTGTTATCAGCACTTTGCACCCTCCAGCAGTTGAATAGCACTCTACCACCTAATAAAGCCAGGGAACATTAAATCACATCTTGTCAGTGTGCTATTCCATTCCCAAAGCTACAAAGTAGCCAACCTGAAGGATTTCTACCACTTGAGAAAAAATAAAGCGCAGGAATTATTGTATATTCTGAGCTGTTTTACGTACCTTGTCCTTGAAGATATGTGGATTTTGATAGATGAAGTCACGATAGCTTTCTGTACGCACTTTATCCTATAATTTAAAGAAAAAAAAAAACAAAAAAACCCCACCAACGTTCACTTTTTGTGCTTAGGTACTGCATATCATTCAAAAATGCTGAAAAACTTGCTTTTTAACTTGGCCCAAAGATGCTTTGTGGTTACAGTACTTATGAGGACTCTGCAATCACAACACTTTCCATACTATGTTCTTTCAAAATTTATTGTCCTCACAAATGAAGCTGGCTGAGCCTCTGGATGAAAAGTAAGAAATTAGCTTACAGTTTTTTGACCTGCTGCAATTGACTTTGGATGTTCCAAAATTCTCAATACCTCTTCACCACTTTCCAGGAACAGCAGTAATAAGAGTGTCAATACTGCATCAATTTTATGTAACAACCTTCTATGCAGTGGTAAAAATTTGAGTCACAAGCTCAAAACTATTCATATAATTTGATTCTCTGACACTCCCATGACACACAGATTCCTTCAAAAAAAAGTTATGGAACAGATTAACCTTTTCTATTTCTGAACAAACTGCAAATCTGCAAACCTGAGAAGCTAGTTATTGAAGCTGTACAGCCTGTTCTATGAAAGCCCAACATAATAAATAAACTTAACTGTAATACAACATGACCCGAGAAGATGGAACATTTTCAAGCATATAACTACATGTTTATAGTATCTCAGCACATGAAAGCTAGCAGTACAGCTCAATCCACAAGCAAGGTACTCTACTAAAACACTGATTCTCTTAATATGCATCAGCAGGTACACAAATTGACAGCCTAGTATAGGTTTTGGAATTGCTGTTGCAGCTCACGTGTTAGAGGAAAGTAAAAAAAAAATATAAGCAATTTTTACCTAGTAAAGACAAGTCTACAAATAATACTGAAATATAAAGCCTGACTGCTTATATTTTTATTAATGTGTTTCTACTATGGCAGATAAGAATTTTTAGAAAAAAATACAGAAAATGAAGGCGTTTTCTCTCGAGCAAGATCAAAGTCTATTTTGTTAGAAAAACAAGATCAAAAACCAGATACTGAGAACAAAGGATCTGTTCATAAAAATTCTGGAGACAAAACAAATTTTGAGGCTTGAAAATCCAGTTTTAAATTTAGGAAGATTATCACACACACAGAGAGCCCAAAGAAACAGTTAGGAATCATTTTAGAAAACTGTACTTTACATTATACATAATTAACATGAATAAAAAAAATTGGGATCCTTTAAAATGACACTGGTTTACAATGATGTTATATTCAGATCAACTATTTTTAGTATTTCACCTCTACTGCAGTATATAATAGGATTTGCTGAAACAACCAAAAAAGTTCTTAAAAAAATAAAAAAATCAGGAGGTTCGGCATCAATCGAGAGAGCAGTCAGCTGGAAAGCTTTCAGCCTTTGCATCCTGCCCACTCACATTGCCTCAGCACTGCCCCAACTTAATCAATACAATTCTAGCTGCTGTCTCTACTATATGCACTGCTGCTCGAGTGAGTCACAGTCATTCACTTCAGGTCTATTCATCAATTCCATTCTCTCACCCAACATTTTAATGTAATGCGTTTTTTGGGTTTGTTCTGAAATAAAACAGTAAGGAAATTTATTAAAATGAGTCAAGAAATTCTCGAGAAAAAAACAGAACAAGGGAAACACTAGCCATTTGGCAAGTATGAAGTAACAACACTCTTCCCCCATGTCTGAAGTATTTGCAGCAAAAAAAAACCCAAATTGAAATTTCAAACTGTCACTGCCAGGCATAAGAAAAAAAAAGGTTTCAAAACTGAATAGTGTCAGAAACAGACTTAAAATTCAGACAGCAAGAATCCTTTCTTAAAAATTTCAAAGTAGCAAGCCACTATATTTATATAATTAAGGCAGACATACAAACAAACAAAAAAACCAACGAAATGAATGCCTAGCATATAGGAAAAAATTCAATACACATGATAAAAGTCAATTGCTTTCCAATGTTTAGGAAAGGCAAAAGTCATCTTAAAAGCATTGTGACAAACAATCCCCAAAACCGTTAAGATACAATTTTGTACCAATCTCCTTGTGCAGAGATGCATAATTATTATAAACGTTATTAGCAAACAGAAAGGCTTCCTCATTCTATAGACTACAACATCACAACTGAGACCTTTATACAACTGCTATACCAAACTTCTATCATTTTTATTTATCTTCAAGACTTATATATATTTCTCTAGACTACACATTTGGAAAACATTCTTCTTCCTCTGCAGGCATCTCTGTACTTCTATAAATTCCCCCCCCCTCTATTATTAACGTCATGCTTATGCTATTCCAAACACATTCATGTGTATTTCTACATTGAGGCCACTAAATGATATACAACCCAGAAAACTTTATATGCTACCTATATGGACAAAGTCACTTCACAACTCCGTATTCTACCTCTACATTAGGCAGGAATTTTATTTATTTCTGCCTCAAAACGATAAAACTGTTTATGACTCTCACAACTATGATACTTTCTCTGAAAGGAAGCATTAAGAGATTTTGATTTTCATGTTAATTCTAAGTTGTTGGGATTTGTGTTTAGGGTTTTTTTTTAACTTAAAAGGACATGCACCAGTTTGCCTTTGAAGAGTTTTAAACCTTAATTATTTTATATAAAAGCAGCATGCCATTTTTCCAGCTGTTCAATTTCATGCTATCAACACACTGAACTGTGCACAAATACCAACAATTTCTGTTTACCTAACAGGATAGGAAACCATAATATTTGAGAAGTGGTTTTGCCTGGCTAATTTCAATTGTTAGGAAAATATAAACCATAAAATATTCACTGGCTGTACCATGTTTTATCCCTTATCTCTTAAGCACCCAGGAAAAAGCTTCTTTTGGCAAGGTAAGGCTGTGGTACAGATACTGTAATATATCTTCATATATTACATATATCTGTAGAGTAAATAATTTTATGTTCCTAATGCTTCCCATAGAGTAAATAAAATTTATACAAAGGAAATAAAACTAGAAAAAGATCTCTCAACCCAAGTCCTAGGAAGAAACTATCATGTATAGAAAGGGTTAAAAATGCAGCTGCTCTGCAGTATATTTATGGGCACACAGCCCACTTCATTCCATCTTTCCTCTTTAGTCCTACTAAGACGCAGTTGAGATGACTTTCTAACCTTTAGCATCTCTTCATGTATCCCATAATGCCCATAGGAGCTGAAGTAAACACCATCCTCATCCTCCTGAAGGTCTGCAATGGCGCTGGATGACGAGCTGCTCCTGACATCTGCATTCATCACAAAATCCTGTGCAAATTGCCTGTAATCAATTTGAAATATACCCTTGAGGCATGTTTATGGGACCATGAAAAGGAGGCGGGGGGGAAGGGGGAAGAAGGGGCTTGAAAGAGGTGAGGAATCCAGACTGCACAAGGGCTTTTACAACAATGGAACCGGTTTTAAGTGTGCACAACCTCCCTCTGCCGGCTCCTCCAGGCTGCTGCATCGCCATTCTCCATCCATCACCTTCCTGCAACGACTAATTTCTGCTTTCAACCAGCAACTATCAGCAGTGAAACATTCAGACTTCATGTCTATTTTTAAGGAGGAATTATCTATTTTGCATTCGCTAGAACTAAATCTGGTACTGTGGTGGTCCAACTCTACAGGGGGACACCATGTGCATTTTAAGCCGTGTAACACGGACTCAACGCAATAAGCAACACTTAAGAACTGTAAATCATACATCACTGCATGACTAGTGGAAGGTTGAAGACAGTACTTTAAAACTGAAGCATTTGGGTGGAAACAAGTAAGAGCTTAAATTAAATTTTTTTTAATTTCATTTTTATTCACATGCTGCTACTTATTTTGCCTCCTCCATGGCCTTGCATTCCTAATATGCATGTTCTCTTCTCATTTCTCAAAGCAGTTTTGATGACAAAATACACAAATCAAGGGTTTTATCATTAAGACACAATTAAAAGTTGACAAGCAAACAGCTCATACTATACCCACAATGAGGTAAAAAAGCAAACATGCTTCAGCCAGACAACATTCCTTCATCAAAAGTCCAACAGCAACAAAACCACTCCAAAGCAGCCCAAGCTCACCTTCAACAGTGGTCATACTTTCTTAAATAGGAACTTAATGTACACAAGCTGTAGGCAACATCTCATTACCAGTACCATCCTTATAGAACAACAAAACCAAAAATACTATTTCAGTCCTGACAGGTCTCTGCTTAACTAGTATGGATGGGGAAGAGAAGGTGGTAAGGGAATTCATGTTACGAGTTTGCCAACATCAGAAACTTCCTACACTTGTTGACATACAGGTAAGGTCTGGATCTTCTTTTTAATATTGCTCTTTACCATGGCAGTTCGCATTTTCCTTACTTTTAGATAAATGTCAAAATGATAAAAATTGAAACTTACAAAAGAGAGATTCTGTGACGTGCCATTAAGTATAATTAGCATTTGTAAGATTGAAACTCCATTTTAAATTCTAAATTATTTAAAATGGATTCAGCCAATAGTTCCAGCCCATGCATGCAACACAAGTACCAACCACACTCCAGAGACAGGGCTGCCCTCTTGTCTTTTTAATCAAGAAAAAAAAGAAGGTAAGTAACAACAAAAGTCATCATCTCTGAACAGACAACAGATTAAAAAAAAAATCAAGATATACAAGCCATGCTCTTAAATTTCTAAGTTATATCAAATGCTAGAGGTGACCAGATTTATAGAACTGTTACTGTTTGTGGGGGGAAACAAAAGGTCGCTAGGCCTCCAGCCACCTGTATTGGCTTTGTATCCCTTTCAATTCTCGTAATTTTACAAGCCTACTCAGCTTAGCAAACTTGGAAAAACTTTTCTGCAGAAATTTTTTCATACTCAACCAGTGAGCGTCCTCCTCCTATTATTCCCGAGCTCAGAAGGCAACAATATCTAGGGAGCTGCATGTCTGATCCTAAAGAGGCAGTCATTAAAAAAACTAAAATATTTTTTCCACATCTTTGAGAACAAGTACTACATAATGCAATCATGTTGCAACTGAAAGAAGCTACTACTAACTTTAGTCTCCCAAGAAGTCTCTGTAGATAGGCATGGCATGAGAGAGCTCCCAGATCTGGCTTTTTTTACTCCAGAAGTTGAAGTCAGCCAACCAGCCTGCCAAATACTGCTATAAACCTATTTCCCTGAGAGAAAACAATAGAAAAACAGGCTACTGTAGATTAAGGTCCTGTACACTATTCCTGCTCCACATCAGACTTCAAAGCTATCTTTGTTTTGCAGAAGTTTACCCAAAAGGGAAACATCTGTAGATGGTCTCTTTCAGTGGAGTAACCTCTAAGCATGAATCAGTATCGCCATGGATTACAGACTACTACAATGCAACCAGTTCATCTGTCTATAATTTAAAACTGTGCTACTTCATCAGATCTACAAGTGGCTATTTCTGGTGCCAGCTGATCCCTGCTGAATTGAAGAGCCTTGACAAAGAAAAGCATTGACAAGGAAAAATTAAAGGCTCCCTTTTACAACAGCAGATAATCTGATACACTAACCTCAAAAAGAAATCTGATAGAAGTTTAGAGAGCTGAAAAGAAATTGCAACTAATGACCTGAAAAGTTTTTCTTTCTTTTAAATTAAAAAGAAGGGAACAACAGTAAGACAGGATGACCCAGAGAAAAAAAAAAAAACACCAAGTTTTCCAAGTACAGTGACAGATTTCTTTCATTCTTATTGTTTATGATGAATTAATGAATGATGTACAGAGAGATATCAGGAAAGTACTGTATGCTGTAATGCAAAATTTGCAGAAGTTAAACCCAGCTGAAGACAAAACTGTTCATTTTTGACATGTATAATTGTTCACCGCTGATAGGATTTGAATACATGAATTTATTTTGGTATACTTAGTTACTAGTAACATCAAGTGCGTGCTCTCAAAACATACAATGAGCCCTCAAATGTATTTTACAAATTAAGTTTTTTGCCGCTTTTCCACAAAAGAACTTGAATTATTTTTCTAAGTCTCTTAAATACAATTTCAGTTCCTCAGTGACCAATCAGCGTGATCTTGAAATGACATGTTTTGTACCGAATTTTATCCCACGTGATCCAAAAAGAAGTTTATATTCCCATTTTATCCATAAGCATCATCAACCCATATTCTGAAGACCTCAAGATTTATAAGCAACATGTGCAGCTATGGGGATATCCCGACTGCAATACACTGAATATTCTTACTAACAGAACCCACACCCGAGACTGAAAATAAAAGTAGCCGAAAAGTTGGTTTATTAATTTCACGGAGGGTTTCTCCAAACTATAACTGGATTGTATGACTAACAATCATTGTTTGGAGCTGTGTCTAAAAACATTGAGAGTGTCATATTTAATTTGTCAATACCTCCCTCTTCTCCATCATGTACGTCTTCAACGTTTAAATTCGTATCTAAAGGACTAATGGAAAAGTGTCTGAAAAACAAAGAGAGCGGTCTGAAGCAAAATACATGTTTATGGGCCATGTGCTTATTTAGCTTTCCTTACTTTGCTCTTTCAACTCATGCAGGTTTTGTGCAGTTTTTACTAATCATCTACAAAAGTCAAACCTACAGTCCCAACACAAGCTGCGAGTTTTATCATAGTTACATTCTACCATTTCTTTGAATTTCTATTGGTCTTTAAACACAAACATCTCATCTCACCTAAAACACATCAAATGAAAAACCCCGACACTTCAGTTCAAACACTTACTTCATTTTTTGAAGATCATCTTGTGCTCTAGCCAAGGCTGCTTCTGCGAGTCTTGCTCTGTGTTCTGCATGTTTTAATTGTTCAAGGAGCATCATGGTATCATTCAAACCATTAGAAGGCAAAACGTTTGGAGGTTCACAAAGATCTTCTATATCTGATAAAATGGAGACAAAAAAAACCGACCCACCGGTCACATGTTGCTTCATAGCAGCTCATAAACGTATGATGTTTTCAGCATTACTATTTCTGCCTTTGGATGATTTGTAGTAGTAGTCTGTTTTATGAGAAGCATCACTGAATTTGACAGGACTAATTGCAGAATACAATACTACTTGCTAAAAGCAAGTATGCTAGCAGCAAGCTCTAAGTTAACAAAGCAAATACATCCAGAATTCAGGGTTCTTTAAATAACAATGTTTCATTATTGATAAGAAAAATTAGGTTTAGACTGTAATTAAGTTAATTATAGTCCTATCCTCTACTTTTCCAGTTACGTTATTCTGAGGCCAAAAGGACTGGTAATAGTAGTAGATAAGAAAGTATATAAATTTAAAATTTAATAGTTAGACAGTAACTCTTAATTTTCAAACCAATTCCTTGGGCTTCTATAAAGCTGATGAACACACAAAACTTAAAAGAGCATAAGCAGAATAAATCTAGATGAAACACTGCTTTTTGACTATCAAAACTCAGGCTCAGTGCTAGGTCCCTTTCACCTATTGTTAAATTCAGCTGGTGATTTCAACAGAAGTCAGTGGATAAAACAAAGGTGCTAGTGTATTTTTGATATATTAAGAAGTTATTGTCAACTTATTGGGCAAAATACTTGATTCAAAATACATATATCTATTCCTTTTAATCATGGAAGACTAACTATTTCGCTCACGAGACCTAAACAAAACACAGATACTTCAAATAAGATTTCAGAGATTCAGATCACCTCCATAACCCTTTAGCAACTGCAACGGCAACTCAAAGCATCTCAGAAGTCTATAGCTTGGGCACAGAGCACACGTTAGGCAGGTACTGATACAGTGAAAAGTGAAATCCCTCAAGTAATCAACCAATGTCCTCTACCACACATTATCTCCACTGTCATGCAGCAGGGCTTGCTTAGAAAAGGGCAAAACTGCATTCCAGACTGTATGGAGAGGAAAAAAAATCCACAAGCCCTAAATACCTTATGGTTTAGGCAAAAGAAAGATGCACAATCAAATGCAAAATAGGAAGAAGTGAGAGGATCATGGGGCAGCAAAAATAAGTTCAAAAGTCAAACTGAATTCTCTCAAGACCATCTGACCAACTGTCATGAGAGAGAAACTAAGGCTGCTTACACTGATCACTAGAACTGCTAAAGGAGTGGAACTCATCTACGCAACTGTAGGATCTTACACTGGGTTGGGTCCAAAAGAGAACCTGTATAAAACATGAAGATATCTTCAACAAGGCAAATTACTTGCTCCTTACTTATAGCATACATTTTTGAATGAGTGCATCTGATTTTGAATACCTACATTCAGAAGCTTTAAAAGCTTCATAAATCTTCAAGTGAAGCTCATAAGTGCCTCTTTGACTTACTTAATTACTACATACAGCATCTCCACTACAAACATCGTATCTACAGTAAGTGAATGCACATAATAAAACAGAGCTATGGAAATCTCAGCCATTAAAACCCAACATATAATGTGGTAAAAACTTCAGAGCATGACTTCATGTCTTGAATTCAGCTATTACATGGACTTTCTCCTGTACCTAATTCAACTGAATAATAGTGATGCTGCCTCATAGGACAGGAACTCTGCCAATACCACATTTACCCCACATCGTAGTATGGTCATACTGAAACATGTTTATTTACCAAACTGAAGCAGGAGATCATTTTCTAGCTCTGGTTTCAAATATTCCTCTCCTTCCCAAGGCAGTGGGCTGCTGAGTGAACTCAAATATGCTGCTGGTGGTTTCTACACAAAAGGAGAAGAGCATGTTAACTATATTTCTTTGAAAACACCAGCCCTTCAATTTCATTCAAGAAAACAAAGCACAGATCTGTTCTGCCACCTGTTAACATACACAGGGTATTATTCAAGTAGCTCTGAAGCAAAGGTTGAGAAAGATACTACTTTAAAGCACAACTAGCGAGAACAGTGAAGAAATGAACTTCTGGCTTCCATCCTGGCTCTGTCAACATGTACTCACCTCAGCACACTGACACTACAAGCACGGTGACCAGAGAAAAGCATAAAACTACACCTATGAGCTACCCTGATCCCAAAGCCCAGGAAGCTACAGGATCAAGGAATTCAGTACAAGCAGTAAAACACAGCAGACTGACAGACATTGAAGGATACTTGTAGGATTACACTGCTATCGGGAACCAAGTCTGCTCAGCTGTTTGATTCTGTCAGATCCATAGCTTACAACTGGGCTAATCAATAAAGCCAAGATACTAATCATGCCAAGTGGTTTTACACGAACAGCGCTGTAGGGACATATTTCAGAAATGCTATATTCTCTCCTGTCTGCATTCAGCCAGTTAATGCTTTGTCAGGAAAGGAAAGATCAGATTCTGGACTTCAGTTTTTCCATTTCTGTCTTTACTCTGCATAGATAGTTAAGACTTAAGTAACTATTTGAGGATTTAAGATTTAAAGATTTAAGTAAAAAATGCTTAATTACCTACGATGGTACTAAGTCTAAACTTAAACTTTTAGGGAATAACCCAAGAACATACTTCAAAGTCACAGAATACACAAAATATACTCAGGCCTAACTTAAAACTGTAGGTTCTCAACAGCTTTCCTGATTCTGTTATCATTTTAGCAGACATTAATTTTAGGTTCTGTGACCTAAGGGATCAGGCATTGTCCTTACTAACAGCACAGTCAGGGTCTGCCAGCTCACATCCCCAGGAAAGGCTCTTTTACACCAACACGCATACAAGGACTGAGAAACTTCAGTTATCAAGAAGTGAACCCATTACTGGAGCGAGATGGCAGAGTCAAAGGCCAAGATGAACTAGCAAAACATGATACTACACAGCATGGGCTTTTCGCAAGCCTGAACATCCTCTTCTGGAAACAATGAAAGCACATTAATTAAATAAAAATAAAAAATAAAAAAATAAAAACAACTTCACATCTAAATAAACCAATCAATAGCTATTTTAACTCCCGTGATTCCTCATTTCTAGAAATATAACATGAAATTTCATGCAGTTATTAAAAAAAAAGCAAATTGAAAGCACAGCATCTCGATTTCCCACGCTCCAGACCATATTATGGAAGTAGTACATGACACACCTACCTTTAATCTAACAAAGTTTATTAGTTTAACATATCCATAAAAATCAAGTCCTGAAGAGAGAAAGAAAAAAAAAAAAAAAAAGACGGTTTGCATTACAGAAACTCCACATATGTTTTATAATTATATGAATACTAATTACTTGTTTGATCAGCCAGCTTCCCCTTGGGGTGTACATCATTATCTAGGGCAGCCTTCCTATCTACATTTTTCTTCTCTTCAGGACGAAACCAGGAAATTCTCACCCTCAGGACAAATACATTTGCTGCAAGAATGGAACACATGCAAAAGGGGCTTATGAACAGGGATTTCATTCCTTTGGCAAGCAACTACATCAGGACAGCCACGTTTATCTCCTACTACCTACCTTGCTGATATTTTAGGCTGCTGTGCTCCTCCGTTCATAATTTTAGCTTTCTTCTTAATAAGATATAAATTGATGCCACTCATCAAGAATAGACACCAATATTGATTTAAAACTGCCGTTTCACTCAGAAATAATAGTAGTTTAAATGCACTTATGTATTCTCAAGAACAGTGAGGATACTGCATAAACTCAAAATACTTACCTTTGGATTTTATACAGAAAACAGACCAGATCTTACAGTTTTACATGCAGATTTCCAAATGCTTCGTGTGGTTCCCATCCCCTTATCTCTCTCCCTCCTTTTTAGTGCATGCTCTTAAAATTAGTGTTTCTCTAATGCTGCTCCCCTTCTCCTGCGTTCCAGTTTTCCTCTATGTACAGTAAGATACGGATTTCAGGCCCAGTAGTTCAGCACTTGCCTAACTCTTCCAAAGCCCTCCCCCCAATTCACATACATCCTCCTATACGTACCTTTCTTCAGTCACCACCTTGGCCTAAAAACATGACAGCTTCAAGTGAAATCCAACCTTAAACTTCACTTGGAAAGAATGAAGGAAACATTGGAGGGAGTGCCTTCCTATGATCACCCAAGGGAACATAAGCCAAGACAGCAAACAGCGCTTACAAGACACCAGCAGCACAGCCCAATTACTTAACCTCTTGGGGAAAACAACCACTTTGGTGTCTGCTAAGCTACTGACACAGTATCAGCAGCCGGGCAAGAGCTCCCAGGAGATCAGGTAAATAGCTCTTAACTCCAGCATGCAGTGGGCCGGCTCAGGTTGATCAAGCAGGCAGCAGGGACTCAACACAAGCCAGCAGAGATCAATCTTACTTTTATTACTAGTCAAGAGCTTTACCAGTAGATAAAGCATATGGGAAACTGCTAGCAAGAAGAGTAACATATGAGCATTTTTCTACAATAGCTTATCTTGTTCAATCTTGGAATCTTCAGCTACAACCAGGAAATAAGTTAGAAACAAGCTCATCTTCACTATTTATTTTAAACGAGATGCTGATATGCAGAAGGAAACAAGTCGTGAAAAAAACCCAAACCTACCATGTTTCTTGATCACATCACAAACGTTAAACTGATGCTCTGTTTTGCAGTGGGAGAATACATCTTCAGCAGAACTGAACAACCTGTAAGTAATGCATTATTAAATATGCAGTATTAATATGCTTACAAGCTATAACACTTATGAATTTTCAGACTGAAATCTAAGAACCACACGTATACGAGGCGAGTTGGCCAGCTAGAGCTACTGCATCAAAATAAAAATCCTCATCTATTTACTGCCGAGCGGACAAGATGGCAGAATCCAAGAGAGTGAGGAAGGGAACTACCCGCCTTCCACGTTACTTCTCCCTCCTTCAGCCTGGATTAAAAAGACCTTCGGCTCTGGAGAGGCCGCACACCACATCCACGAGCTACGCAGCACTGTGGCAAACGCGCGCTGGTTGCTTCCCCGGGGTGCCTGCCTGCCTCCCCCGGGCTGAGCGGGGGCGCTCGCACCCCAGCCCCCCCCGTTCTCCCAGGGGCTCCGCCGGGCCCTCGCCCGGGGCGGGGGGGGGGGGCGGCC